CCGCCACTCCCTGCCCCCCCCTGCGGCAAACCGCCACTTCCAGAAGCCCCCCGGGTGCTTTTCCATTGCTGAACAAGCCCTGGGAGGCTTCTGAAAGTGACCCTTTGCCGGTGTGGGAGTAGGTGGGCATGGGGGGGCAGGGGCAGGCCCGCCAGCCCCCCATGGCAAAGTGCCGCTTTCAGAAGCCTCCCAGGTGCTTTTCCACTGCTGAACAAGCCCAGGGAGGCTTCTGAAAGTGGTGCTTTGCTGCGTGGGGGGGGGGCTACCACTTACCCACACCCACCCCGGCAAACCGCCACTTCAGAGGCTTCCCCGGTGCATTTCCACTGCCTGTTTACCTGCTGGGCAAGCCTGGGGAAGCTTCTAAATCCCAGCGCTGATCAGCTGTGAGACAGAGAGGGGGACGAGCTGGAGTGAAGAAGAGCAGAAAATGGCTCCCGGCTCCCCAGAAGCCTCTGACACCCTGTACCGATCAGCTGTGAGGCGGGAAGGGGGGCGGGAGCGGAGAAGAGTACACACCCCCCGCCTCCCCACCAGCAAAGCAGCACTTTCAGAAGCCTCCCGGGGCTTCGTCTTGCGAAACAGGGCCATAGTTAAAATTGTCTTGTGAGGCACCAAAGCCCTCGCCGGACCCAATCGTCCAGCGAGTTTTTCATCCTGCGAGGCAATCGTCTTGCGGGGCACCACTGTAATTAATTGTTTTTGTTAGCTTAATATTACCTTCCCATATTTGTGACCATGACTTTAAGTTAATAGTGCAGCCCACATTTGGGGCCCAATTTATCATATATTCTTTTAACTATTTCATCTTGCGTTTTTATTTCTAGTAGATAATTATACAACATTTTAATCAATTTTTCCTTTACATCCAGAAGTATCTTATCTAATGGTGTCTGTTCCTTACAAAAAGCCTACTGCTTTATCTCCTGATTCTTGAATCTATTTGTGTTTTTGTCCACTAATCAACTATTGTTTAAAACAAAAGTAAAAACAGTTCAAAAGGACATGTATGGTGACCGTAGTTCAAAAACATTGTGAAAAGAACACTCACACAAAAACAAGCATTTTTTTCAAAAAGATCCACAACAAAAAAAGTAACATCCTGTGACCAAACAAGAAATAATCCTCAGCACACTCACCTGGTAGATGATTCACTCATGGCCATGCATCATGTGACTGCAAGTTTATGATACAATCTCAATGAGGAAGGCAACATTTGGCTTGTGTCATTGCGGCTCGAGATATCTGTTTAGTTCCAGGAAGAAAGTATTGGGCTTCAGTTTTACCACTGAAAAGCATTACTCTCCTTTATGTTAATTCATAGCTATGTTAGTAGGTTAAGAGGGAGCTATCTATTAATTCCCCTCTTCTTACAGGTAATGAGAGAGTCATGGTATTTGTGGAAACTAAGAAAAAAACAGATTTCATTGCGACGATACTTTGCCAGGAACATATACCAGCAACAAGTATTCATGGGTAAATATGTGTATGGGCTCTGGGAATTTTTAATTTTTAATTAATTAGGTCTGTGGCTGAATATGAATCTGAGAAAGGTTTTGACAACTGTATTCCATTGGTGGGAGCATTAAGGACAGAGGGTAACACCAGATGTGGGTGTGTGTTTTATGCTGTCAAGTCGAAACTGACTTATAACAGCCCTAATAGTGTTTTCAAGATAAGTGAGGTATTTAAGGAGTGATTTTACCAGTTCCATTCCTCAGTGAGTTTCCACAGCCAAGTGCGGATTTGAAGACTGTTCTCCAGAGTCCTGGTCCATCACTATATCCACTACACCACACTGAGAATTGGTGCCAGATGTAGTTCTTACTAATTTGGATACCTTCCCATGAAACAACACAGCTCGATTTGATGCCTATCTTTTCTGGAATAGGGCTCAGTGTAGCAATTTTCTGAGCTGCAAATCAGAATTGAGTTCCATGCAGCAGTTTCCATAGCTTTAAGAAGCCTCTTATCTCTGTTCAGTGATTGGAGATTAAAAAGTAGAGATTTGCTGCCCCAGATGGGGGCTTCTCCATTCTTGGACTTCTGAGTCAAAGTTAATCATGATTCAAGTTCTAATATCTCGGATCTACATTGTTGGGTTTTGTTTTTTTCTTCCAAAGATGGCACAGCGGAACTTTTAAACATCCCTTTGAAGTCTGCTGGCTACTGATGGTCCTGGATTCTCAGATTAGGATGAAAAGGCATTCACCACTGAATTGATCCCTACTATTGTCTAGGAAAACAGAGGTCGCATCGGCTAGATTTTTGTGTCTAGGGTTGATGCTTATGGATTTGGTTACAGTTCTTTACCTTCCCTCACCCTGAACAAAGCTCACAGCTAATCACTGTTTCACTTCTTCTGGTCCACATTTTCTCTTATTTTAACTTCACTGGATTCTGTGCTGCTAAAATATGTAGAATACACTACTGAAGAGAATTCTCTTCCTCTCCCTGGATCAATACAGTGTGGGGCCAGACTGCCACAACAAAATCATGACCAAGTTCAAGATGTATCCTACTGATTTGATCACATTTTTTGTAGTTGCTTACATCTTTATGACAGGTAAGGTAGAGTAGGTGGCACAAGTGTGTTTAACTGGAAACAGCTTTAGCTTGGCAAACATGCATTTGCAAAAGATTAATCTTCTGTCTTGATAAACGCTATTTGCTTTCAGAGTTGCTAAACATGTCTTTGCAAGGTAGAGTAAATCCTTCCTCTGTTTATAGGGATCGGGAGCAGAGAGAGCGAGAAGAAGCTCTCCGTTATTTTCGTTTGGGAAAATGCCCTGTGCTTGTTGCTACGTCAGTGGCTGCGAGAGGTCTGGATATTGAAAAAGTTCAACATGTTATAAATTATGATTTGCCTTCCACCATTGATGAGTATGTTCACAGAATTGGACGAACTGGGCGTTGTGGTAATATAGGCAAAGCTGTTTCCTTTTTTGATCCTCAATCGGACACTGCTATTGCACAGCCTTTAATAAAAGTCCTTGTAGATGTAAGTTGTCTTTTATTCTGTAAGTTTGTTTTTTTATTAAATTGGGAGTGTTAGCCTCAATTATTATGTGAATTTTTCTCTCTGGAGGCTCAGCAAGAAGTACCAGCATGGCTCGAGGAGATAGCTTGTAGTGCTGGTGGAATCAGTTTCAGCAGTTCGAGGGGGAGTACGTTTGCATCTATTGATTCTCGAAAGGTAAATCTTAAGAAGAAGCCCAGCTGTTGATTGATACATAAACTTTTTTTTAAAAAAAATCAAAGATCCTTTAGTGTTTTGAAATATGAGACTATTAAAATAAATTAAGGTTAGAGGGAAGGCAACAGATACTATTGAAATTTAAATCAAGCCACGTCATGGTAAGAAAATTTGGGTAATTTCCATTAGATACTATATTACTTAATGGGAAACACTACTAGGGAGATTATCGGTTTCAGGCTGAGCTCAAAGCCTAGTTTCTCATGTGTTATGTATGAAAAAAGTCTTATGTAGATGCATTGTGAAAGATAATTGATTGCATCTTCATTAGACATGTTCTGAAAATTATGAGATTGTCTAGTGCATTGATGGGCAAGTGTGAATGTCTAGGTGTTAGGTAAAGGTAAAGGTTCCCCTTGACATTTAGTCTAGTCATGTCCATCTCTAGGGGGTGGTGCTCACCCCTGTTTCCAAGCCGTAGAGCCAGTGTTCGTCCGTAGACAGTTTCCGTGGTCATGTGGCCAGCACAACTAGACATGGAACGCCGTTACCTTCCCACTGTGGTGGTACCTATTTACCGACTTGCATTTTTGCATGCTTTCGAACTGCTAGGTTGGCAGGTGCTAGGAGAAGCAATGGGCGTTCACTCCATCATGTGGATTCTATTCCTTCACCATTTTCTGTGCTGTCTAGTGTTGCTGGAAGTTGCAATTGAGCAGCATACGTGAGAAGTAATCACATGATATGCATTTTTTTTATTGTAGGGCATAGTTTTTTCTGTTCAAAATGAAAATCTGTCAAATTTTGTTTTATTTAGGTTTTCCATGGCAAAGATAATCAGTGCAGTGGAGGATTTGCAGCATCAAATATAACTGCAGCTGATGAATCATGGGATTAAGGCAGTACTCTCTCATGGAACAAATCTCTTAATGTACTGTTTTGAATCTTCCAAACAAGTCAATTATGGAGAGAGACTGGATTATGAACATATTTACTCAAGTCCCTTAGATTTCAGTGGAACTTACTTCCAAGTAAACATGGTTAGGATTGTGACTTTAATGTTTAAAAAACTGTTGTTGTTACTTGGTTCCTTGATTGAATGCAGTTCTTGAATATCGTCAAGACTGGCAGATTACATATATAATTTGAATTGCTTAATTTAGTTGCTAAATTTAATAGTTGTGTGAAGTAACACCACTTGTAAAGAATTGGTTAAAGGATTATAAAACATTAAATAAAAATGTAGGATTGTGTCCTGTTCTTTGGGTTGTATAGAGCTTGTCTCATTTCTCTCAAAACCTACTTAGAAGTCATTGATTATCATTGAGATGCAATTAGTTTGCATAGGCTTGTGACCACATTGCAGCAACTTTCATTCTAAATAATTTTTTAGAAACAGCTACAGACAGATCATTCTGGAACATGTTCAGCACTGAACCCCTCTACATAGCCCTGCACATTTTATGGTTATGAATAGGATCTTTTCTGTTAATGGATCTCGTAAGGCAAGTAAAGCAAAACAGGGTTTCTAGGTTGTGTCTTTGCATGATGGCATCTGTCCATCAAGGTGCTTACACTTAATTTTTGTAATTTGTTTTCAAAGGTCAGGATCCAAAGAACCACAGAAGCAATGTCCTCAAATCAAGGGCTTTTCAAACTTGTTTTTCTCTAATAACGCCACCTGTGTAACACAAGGCAAATTGTTTCTGAAAGTGGCCATTTTTGAAAGCCATTTGTGTGATATGCATGAATGAAGGCTGGGATACTTTTTTCAGGGTTAGGGTGGGTCATTAGCAGGAATTAAACAGGAAACAAGAAGGAAGCCCATGTACAAGGAAGAAAACACTGAAATTTGGAACTGTTACTAATCTTAAATAAGCATAATCCAAAATAAAATTTGCATCATTTGGTGTTTTCTATGGTAACTACAATTACCATCGGTCAGGTTCTGGGACAAGCCTATTGTTTCGAAACACTTTTGTGTTTTTACTGCTTAAATGTATTTTATTATAACACAGAGGGATTGAAAACAAGTCTGCCATACCCTTCTCACAGAAATGGTTTGGCATTTGATCTGCTGATATAAAGAAATCTTGGTTTAGAAACTGAAGCAACCTTTAGCTCTATAGTGTTGTTGCTAACATGTACTGCCACCAAATGGTTTTATGACAGAATAGCATCAACTTTTAGCCGGGGAACCAGGATTTTTCATTTCACAACCATGAGGTGCTGCTTGCCACAAAATCTTTTGATCTCTTTTTACAATTTCTCCCCAATCTGTATCAATAGGTGCTTTGCGGAGGCAGTCTTGTGGTTTTAGGAAATCATTAAAAATACTGTCATGTATAAGGAATCTTGCTTCTTAATTTTCTTCAGAAAAGAGGCATGTGTATTTTTGTATCTGGATTTTATACAGTGACACTATATTGTTACAAACTAGCCATGTTTTATTGCAACATGACATTGAGTAGTTTGATCTTGAATAGGCAACTAAGCCATCAAATTTACAAAAGACCAATGCCTAGTAAAAATAAAAACCACTGTAACTGGTTGGGGCAAAGATCAGTAACAGCTTGTATTTTTAAAAATTCTTCAGGCTTGATTATGGCATTCCTCAAGGTAAGTACCTGTACTGCTGGTGTGCAACAAAGTACTGGCTAGGTTATTGAGGGAGCAATGCCCTTCTGAATTAGTTTTGTGTGCTATTGGCAGCCTTGTATAAGAAGCCAAAGCATTTGCTGTATACGAAGGGTGTTTACTTGAAAGAAGAGAGATGTTTTTTTAAAAAGGCAACAGTACTGAAAACACTTTTTAAAAATGCAAATACTTTCTCAAGGAGTGCCAAAAAGGCAATTTTTATTTTTATTTATTTATTTATTTATTTGATTTTTACCCCGCCCCTCTAGACAGCGTCTACTCGGGACGGCTTACATAGGTTAAAACACTTCAAAATAACATATATAAAATATAATTCTTACAATTAATACTAAACACATTTCCAAGATGGCAGGACTCAAGAAGAGGGGGAAAAAGAAAAATCAGTTAATTGGCTGGAGGGAAGGCCTGTTTAAATAACCAAGTTTTTTGAAAACACCCAGTGAGGGTGCCAGCCAAATTTCAGTAGGGAGAGTGTTCCACAGCCAAGGGGCCACCGCCGAGAAGGCCCGGTTTCTTGTTTTTTCCTTTCGGGTCTCCCTTAGCGTGAGGCCCCTCAGCCGTCCCTGCTGGCTATGTCGGGCGATTCTCTTCTCCGGGTTCAGCCTCAACCCCCTTGACTGCATCC